CCCCCCCTGAATGTGTTGCTATCACAAGCAAACTGAAACTTATTTTTCTATGTACTATAACTTGTCAACAACATAGTACAGGGTATGATTTTAAGTCCAACCACTTTTTAAAAATCTGGATTTTTCACATTCTCACATGGAATTGCCCACATGTTTTCTATTTCTTAAATACATTTAATAAGTGATGCAGACCAAAAGCCAAGGAATGCATAATTAACCAAGCCCCAGGCAAAAATTAGCACTTGCAAGCTAACTTGGCAGCTAACTTGCTTCCTTCAACATGCACTTGCAAGCCAACTTGCTTTCTTCAGACTGGACACACAAGACTTTTTATTGAGCAGCTTTTAAATGTTAAAAATACACACAACAAAAGATCAGATTAACATTTGACCAGTTTGCAATAAAACATACAATATATACACTTTTATCTCTTTTTATGCAAAATATGCAATCGCCAAGTACACAATATGTACAATCGGCCTAAATATGAGGTCTAAGATTTATTTTATTGTTAAAGTGACAGTGTACAAATTGCCTGGCAACATAGTTGTGACACCTAAATGTGAGCAAATTTATAATAAAGCCCAATGCACGTTTTGAACACTGACGACTCTAAATGACTGCGCAATCAAGATGGACGCGGCTAGCCGACACAACGGTTATTTAAATTGGTGTTAAAAAGAGAAATATTGGCATACATGTGAAGAAGCCGACCGGGCTGGCTACGAGCAAGCGTAACTCTTTCTCGACACAAAATACACCGTTTTAAACCGCACCATGTCTTGCAGCAGAGGACATTTCGCTGCATGCATAGCTAGAACATTATATCTATCGATCTGTTTGAGTTACACCCTCAGGACGCATTCGGCATGAAGCTCATTTGCTTTATTCCGTTTCATACACATAAATTTGCTTTAATTAAGAATTGTGTACTTCTTTCATTTTCCCCGAATTGGCAATTCCTTCGAGAACGTGCAATCTCCAGGAGAAAGCGACCCACAACGATGAAACAAAACTCGGGAGGAACGACGCAACAGTCCCAAAGTACGACTGCGACGAAAAGCACGGCTTCTACGAGACCATATTTCATGCAGTAATACGATCCTTTTCAACGGACATTCGAGATTTAAAATGAAGCTTACTACACGCTTGGTTACACAAAAGCAAACGCTTTGTTCAAAACGGTCTGCGATAAGAACGCCCCGAACTTGCACTTATCTCACCCAATATGCTTACAGAAACCGATAAACATTGCGTTAACTTCTTCACAAAGCCAAATACGAGAAATATGAGCAAAAACAAAATTAACAATCGTCGCCAAAACAAACTGTTATAAATGAATAACGTTGGCCAGTTCGTGCTATGCTTCAAGAACCCCTGACAACTTCCATCGGTTCCATGCAATAACAAAGTAAACAAAATGCGAAAGAAATTACTTCAACGCCACATATTTTCCATCGAATTGAAGGTTTTAGGGATACCTTTATCCATTATTTAAACCGAGGTGCCGAAAACGATAAAATATCTACGTGTGGCAGCGCTGTTTGCAAATGTTCATACGAACCTCATCTTTCGTCCATCTTCCCTTGTTGACTTTCTTCTTCCGACGATGGGTCCTTTGCGACGATTCCTCTTCAACAGGAACACTATAGCCACTACATTCATGAAAAAGAAATACATTAGCCGACAAACTGATGTAATCTAAACCATCCTTGTTCACATAACCGTCGAGCGATTGCAAATACAAAATGACCCCTGATCGGGGCATCGCAATTTGCGCACCGCAAAAAAAATTTGTCCAATACACGCAAGGGTTTCTTTTCGGTTCCCACTTACCGTGCTACTGATTCTGCAGCTTTAAGAAGAAGCAACATTCTTACATAAGGAGCCTTTAGGCATTCTCTGTACCTCACGAAATAGATTTGTCAATATTCAGCGGAGAAAGACGAGCCACCGTGCGTAAGTAACTCAGACGCTGTGAAAGACGCACAGCGAATCAAAAAGAATATGCACGTGTTACAGCACGCGTAAAGCCCGGATGTTCACTTCAAGACGTAAAATAATAAACTTATTTTTTCACCATTCCATGCATTTTCACAGCAAAAGTGTGAAAATGGAACTTTCTGATTCTACAGCAGTTGAAAAATACAAGAGAATAGGTTTAGATCTCCAAATAAATGCAAACAAAAGTCGCTTTATGACAGCGCACATTCGAAACGAGGCCGCATCGATCGCGCAAGCAAAGTCCCTTTGCTAAATTAGTATAATTTATGATTTTAATCCTTTCTGATGAAAACACCAAACTTATAGCTCGGAGACAGCGACATCAAGTAAACAGCTACTAGAAATGCTTACGATTGTAAGTTTTGCTGTATTTTATCGACGATTGTGCAAAACAGCTATCTGACAAACCACGAGTACATAAACACTGTAAGCTGCAGGACAAATCATGGGTGAAAAATTGTTTCATCGGAATGTTTTCGACACGTTCGCAGCCACAGTTATGGTATAGAAACCTTCCTCTAAGAAATCGTGAGCCTGGTTTAACGCTTGATCCAGATAAATGCTTTGCTTTGTCTTCTCATCTCGACTTTTCTTATTTTCAAAAATGGCGCGGAAACCGCGACGTGATTCATCGCAAGTATTTTGATCTTCACTGACCAAAGCAGTGGAACTCGTGATCAAATATCTAGAAGAGCAAGAAATCCTTACCGAAAGAAGTAGGCATTAGCCATCCTCGAGGAAATCCGTGGAAATCCTGAGCCAAAAACCTAGAAGGAACCCCGATATTCGTAGACCTTCTTTTATTGTTGTAAATCGAGATGCGGTTTGAGTGATTCACGCTTCAAATAGACCGCCACGACTGCTTTGTTCTGATTGGTTAGTACGGATAAATCGCTTTATTTTGATTGGTCGAAGCGAGTTCAAATGTACGTCAATTCCTTTGGGGCCTTTTCTTCGCTGAAATTTTGTAATATGAAGTTCTTGACGAGTTCTTGACAGCAAGGCCGCAAATCGTCCCACAAAATCTGAAATATGGATTAAATTATTTCATATAAAATGTGGAAACTTTCCTGGAATAATCACGCTGCTCAAGATTCGGAAATACTTGCTCGAAGTCGTCCAATCCATAGTTCTTTTTAGTGCGATCTAGGGCTTGCTCGTGTTAACATTGTTTATCTTTTTTTTTCATTGAATTGACACGTGCTCTAAAGAAGCTACACAATTCATTTTCACATATAAGTAGAGGTCGCATTAAGTGAGCTAGCCTCATAATATGTGATATAATTTGTTGCAAATGAGCATGAGTTGCGACCGTCTGCAGCTCTTGAGATGGTGGGCTTTGTGTGCAGAATACTGGACATTCCTAGTGAAATATTGATCGCATATCTATTTTTTAAGATAAAACAAGCCACTAAAACTGAAAAAACACTTGAACGAATCGAATCCACGGGTGAGGCGGTCGATTTTGTGAAAGAACTCTGAGATCGAGACGAGAGAACCGTGCAAAATCCCGTGAAAAGTGTTTTTTGAGCCCAAAGTTTTCATTGTTCAGCGTTTCCCTGAACAAAAGAGATGCGCACATGGATTCCTGCGCAATAATAATTTACGGTTTCCAATGGAAATTTGGCGACCACTTTTTGCTCCATTGATGATGTGATTAACTAAATTTCCCTCTCTTTACGACTGCCGAATCTTCGTCATGCTAGTTCCAATTTTTACGCTCAAGTTGAGCCACAAAATCCATGCTCGAACTGCGGCGTTGGGAAGGTTCGATGGTAAACATCCTTGTTTGACAGCAGGCACAACCGCGGGAAAGGTTGGTCCGAAGTTTTATTTTTCAGTATATATCTGAAAACTCTCATGGTTTCTTGTTCTTTATCCACGGAAAAATCAAGGCTGGTTGGAGGTCTTTCAATGACGTCAATCCAATGGTAACATTTCTGAGGCATTTATGATGGCTGATAAATGCTGTAGATGTAGACGAAGGACTATTAAAATGGGCTGAAAAATCTCGGCAGTAAGCTAAGCTTATCATAATTTCCATAGAAACAAGAAAACATCTTTAATTCTTCGTTATGATATAAATTTACGCGTAAGTACATGGTAAAGGTCAGCTTAAAACCTCATTATCTAATTTACACCCAAAAGAATAAATTGAGATGGTTGAGTAACAATTTATTAGTGTGGTTTGGGCATGATTTCACAAATTATGTGCATGTATAGCAGACCTGCCAACTCTCCTGGTTTTCCCGGGAGTCTCCAAGTTTTTCATCAAATCTCCCGGTCTCCTGGTTAGAGCACCAAATCTCCTGGGAACTACCTACTGTGGCTCTTTTTAATTTTTTTTTTCATTAATTTCGTCATTTTCAAGATTTCAAAAAGGAAAATAAAACAAGAAGGGAATTTGTTGCTCTTATTTGAGCTGCTCTCGATCGAAAAAGGTAAAACAGAACAATCAAATTGATATATATTTAATGAGTATCCTAACTGGTCAGAAATCAACCAATCAATTTGCACAATACATGGTACAAAATTGGCAAGATTTCTAGCCGTCTCCAGGTTTTTGTACTCTGGGGGTTGGCAGGTATGATGTATAGCTGTAAGCTTTTATCTCTAGTAGTCCCTAGCGAGGACCAATGCATGTGTTTCATTCTTGGGAAAGAAGTGCCTCTCCACCCAGGGTGCCTGAGAATTGTCATCATAGCTTGACAAGATAAAAGTGGACTAGCATAACACGCAGTTGGTAAGAACAGTATTAGTTCTCCCAGCTGGCTTGGATGAAATTGATAACCATATCACTTGTCATCTGTGGACAGACTACTTATGTATCTTCACGTTCTGAACAAGGGTGAAAGTTGACAGTATTGTTATCTGGGTTGTACGAAACATTTTGTGTAGCTTAAAGGAACCTTTAGTGCCTTTGCACTAAAGGTGAATTGTTGAAGGAAAAGCAGATTTTATTCAGGGGTTTCATTAAGGGCCGGGCACTAAGCAAATTAACCAGCTGTCAAGATGATTGATCCCACCCGGTTTGACCATCTAGAGGAAAGTTTTTATTATAAAGAAGTTCATTCAAAAAGTTTTCCCCATCTGTGAAAACCAGTTGCCATCCTGCTGTAAACATTGATGAAACGCCTGTTCATTGATTTCACTAATTATATTAATTATTGCAAGTTGTTGTTATTGTTTAGGTTTTCATCCACAATCCCCATAGTAGTGCATTACAAGGAGGCCGAGCAGTTGCAAGTCATGATAATGACATCAGCATTTTGAATATCAACCAACAAGTGTCTGCTGTTGCTGCTGGTCAGCTGAATAGCTCAGGGTGTGACACTCTTCTTGTTGGGACACCCACAAACTTCCTGGCTTATGACGTGGAAAATAATTCAGATCTCTTCTATCGGGATGTAAGTGGCCTTATAAGGAGTACCCCAGTTTACCATGTTTGCCTTTGTCTTATCCAGGGTTTTCAAATTGAAATAAAGTAGCAGGAGGAAATTGTCAAGCAGACAGAGCACTACTTGCTCGTGATCAAGGTGGCCGGGTGTGGAAGAGTGCTGGAGTTGGTTACCTGCTGGGGCTGGGTTGCTGGTCCTGGAAATTTTTCAAAATCTGTGTGTGTTCAAGTGCATTTCTGGCATACACATGTGATTTTGTTGGAGGCAACCGACAGCATAGTCTGAATTGTTTCACCTGTTTATTTATTTCTCCAGAAAGATCAGATCATGATAACATTGGTGAAACGAAACTGTGCATAATTTTAATAAACCTTTTGACAAAGAGTACCTGGCACAAACGCTTGAAGAAGGCGGTGACCTACTTCAGGTGCTGGCTTATTCTGGAAACCCTGCTTATCAAAATAGGTGTTATCATAGCATCAAAATTGGAACCAGGCCTCAAGTATTTAATTCTTCTAACATCACAGATGGTAAAGATACATGTAAAAAATTAATATGCATTTATTAAAAAAAGAAAAAAAGATCATAGACTCATTGATGAGCGTACAGCTACATTTACATTTTTTTTTCCTTTGTATGTACAGTGTTTACATGTACACATGTTTTGTTTACCAGCAGAGGATATACAATTAACTGAGTTCTCACACTTGCTTATGATAACTTTATTCCACTGATTTTACATAGATAGCAGATGGAGCAAATGCAATTGTTACAGGGAAGCTTGGAACATTTGAGAATCCTTTGGCAATAGTTGGTGGAAATTGTTCAATTCAAGGCTTTGACTTTGAAGGAAATGATGAATTCTGGACAGTAAGTAATGACAATGTTTTTTTATGTCTTGTAATACGACATGTACACTCCTATTTTGTCCAGGGAGAGCAGTTAAATATTTGTGGAAAACAGAATCTCTTCTTCAGTGTTTCCGCCAGAGCGCGCCATTGCGGGAATCCCGCGTTTAAATCAGAGATGGCCCCCAGAAAAAAATGAAAAAAGGGCCAATTTGGCCCTTTCCTTTTACAAGACTGCAGGCTAACACAGGCATAATATTTTAAAAGCCATCCCAGGGCTTGAAATTGTGATCGATGTGGTCGCCAATGCAACAAGCATTTTATCCTTGGCGACCAAAAATTCTGGTTTAGTCGCCATAATACGGCATAATGGTGACTACATTTCTCTGTGTTGACGATCAATAACGGTTATTTTGTCACACATTACATGTATGTCCTTCTAGAAAATCACATTGAAAGATCTTTGCTTCTAAAACATTCAACATAACAAAAGAAGGCAATCCGTCCTTTTACTTTGCTGTATGGATTCTCTCACATCGGAAAACTTCCAAATGACTAATCGTGTTTAAAATCGCCCTATGATGCATTACAAACCCTTGATCATTGAGTACGTCATGTATGCCTACAGATTGTTCTCTTGTAATGCACGGATCCTTCATACTAGTATCTGATTCAAAAGCAACTTTATTGAGTACAAACACTTCAAAAAGCACTTACTATTAACTTTTCTCATAGATCCTAATAAACTGCTTTCTTTTTCTTGGTATCCTGATGCATTTTTTCCTTCTGTAGCTTTCAATTTATTGGCCCCTTTCCTAAAAAATTGGCCCCTAAAAAAGATCTTCAGGGGCCACTTTGGCCCTTAAGTAATATTTTCTGGCTGAAACACTGCTTCTTTACACCCTGAATATGTGATTTGGTTTCTGGATTTCTTTTGTTGATTGTTGGAAAGACACATTTATTTACATGTAGCTTATTCCATGATGACTTAAATAAGCTATTGTTAATGTAATTATATATTTCCAAAAGGGTCTTGATAATAGCAGGCAAGTAAAGAATTTAAAGACAGTGATCTATCTACCTGCATGTCCCGCATCTCAGACACATAATTTTCCTAAAAGACATACAAATTTAGTCCCAAATGCGTCCTATTGGACGCAAAAAATTGCCTTCTCTCTATTACGATCACGACTTGATGACTTTTCTTCTCTATTTGTGAAAAATTTCAAAATAAGTATCAAAGTAAGCAGCGTGTGATTGTAAAGCGAACGCCATTACATTCTGTTCATTACAGGCTCAATTTTCATGATCAGCGGTATTTTACAGAAGTGTATATTTTTTGATTCCATACACGTGTTTTCTGTCTCTTCCCGCTTGCTTTTTCATAAGACAGACATTGTTATTCAAATTAAGTGCCACCAAAGAAAAAACTTAAGTTCCTGGAGGGGCAAACACAGCTCTCATTTGCAAAACGGCCCAAGGCCCAAAGCGAATGAAGGCAATGAAGATTCAACACAAGCAAAATCAGCGAAAACTGAGGAACAAAGATTTTTTGAACCGTGGCTCAAAACATATTCATGGCCGGTCTACGAGAAAAATGGAAATTATATGTATTGGAAAGTCTGTTCGGAGGCTAGGAAATCAAACGGATGAGTAAGGAGGCCCAGTGCCAAAATTTTCAAAACACCATGCTAAATCGGCATGCTGGTCTCCTTGAACACAAGATAGCCCTCCAAGGCCCAGAGATAAGAAAGTCATTCGAAGAAGTGCGAAGAAAAGACATGATTTGTATGTCGAAGACTGAATGTAACTAATAAAATACAAAGCTCATTTAATTGTATGTGTTATTCATAGGTACAACTGATACACTGATAAGTGTGGGACTCACACTCCTGTGTGTGGGACTCACAGGTTTTTGGCTGTGGTTTTTTTAACAGATCTATGAGGTGGCTCTTCTCTGTTATTTACTATTGAGACAAATTTGGCTATTTACAATTAAAATAATAAGTTAGAGTGATGTGTGAAAATACAGGGTTATCCTAGAAAAATGCTAACAGATTTGAAATAAAAATTAAAAAAATTGTTGTGCCCCGAAGGATTTGGGCGATCTTCTACTACACTATGCCACATCGGCATCTAAAGAAATTCGGTGAAACATAAAATAATATTATATTGCTTTTTACAAAAATGCGGGGTTGTTAGAACAGCAGGCTCATGTAAAAAGAGTTGGGTCCTACGAGTCAATGGTTGGTTCCAGATTATCCTTCAAATAAGTTGTTGCTGAGCTTGTTCAAGCAAAGGTGAATTAATATTGCATAAAACGTACAACAGTTTTTAAAGACATGTTTNTATTCATATTTTGTAGTATATAACTTGTGTCACGTATCATTAGTCACTCTATTAAACTGAAGATGGCATAAGCATGCCAAAACATGTCTTTAAAAACTGTTGTACGTTTTATGCAATATTTATCATTATTGCTAGTATTACGACCAAAGGTGAATTATTGTCTTTCTGGTAATGTTTCTCATTTGTGCATTTGTGGATCTGTTTGGATGTTTGACACTGGCATTATTCGTCACTCAGTGGAGCTGGAGTAGCGGGAGACTACAATTCGATGTAAGGCAGAAATGGGTTAATTTTGAACAACTACATTCGGACATAAGCTGTGAATGGACTTGCGTTATTTAATTAATACAAAAACTCCATTCTCGCCCTTTCATAAATCATTATCCGAGTTCAGTGGCTCACAACCACTTTGATCATTTGCATATTAAGGTTGTGTGCCAGTATTAGGTCACTCAGAAGTTGCCTGTTATTATTTATGACATCATGGAAATTGTGACTGGGTCTTATTGTTGTCCCGCTTTAGGTGACAGGAGACAATGTGTGCTCTTTGGCAATGTGCGATTTTAACGGCGATGGACTTTTAGAGGTACTGCGTAATATTTGATCATCAATTGTCCCTGTCATTGACACTGTTATAGTCAGCAGACATTGATTTTACCTGGCTTATACACTGTAGTGTTACTTACATCAGTGGTTGGTTACACTGTGTTTACATTGTGATTTTTCTCCAGGAAAAAATTAGAGAAATATCTTTTACAGTGGGTTTTTGGTTTGAATCCCATCAGAATTTCCAAGAACTCTTTGTGGAGGGCGTACAATTATTTTGGAAATTTTCCTATTCTAATTCAAGACAAAAATGCTAAAAGGTAACTCTTTTAAATTGGGCAAACATTCTGTCCTTCAGGGAGACTAGAAAATATATATATTTCTTGATAATAAAGGGCAAGGGCCCTACAGCATTATTTAGAAAAAAATTGTACAATCAGTTATGGTGTGGGAAATGGTTTGGAAATACACCATAACTACAAGCAAACTATCATTTGAATTGAGAGCTGACAACAGACATTATTCAACAAGAAGAGAAAGAAAGTTCAAAGAAAAAGAACATTTTACAGTATGTTAAGTTATTTGCTAGTGTTGTTAAAGTAAACCATAAACCTACAAGTTAGAAAATTTTCAACAACACTACCCAGTCCAATGTTTTGGAAATATTGGACCAACAAAACAACATTCTGATTGGTGAGTTCATCAGCGACATTGCTCACTTGTGGGTCCTAAGGCTTGTCGAGAGTCCAAATTACAAGTAACCTGTGCTGAATCTTCAAAATAGTATGTACATGTATGTGCTGTACATTAACTGCTGGTATTTTGCACCCACAGCTACTCGTTGGGTCAGAAGATTTTGACATCAGAGTGTTCAAAGAAGATGAAATTATTGCAGAGATGACAGAAACAGAAGTGAGTAGTCTCAAAATGGTCATTCTATGATCCTGTATTTTTAAATTAGTAGTGTTCAGGAAATTAATGTCAAATGTTGTTCATTTCAATGATTATGACATAATGGTGCTAGGTTATTTATTATTTCATTTATTTTCTCTTTGTAGTCTGTAACATCCCTTTACCCTCTCCGAGGATCAAGATTTGGCTACGCACTGGGAAATGGCACTGTTGGAGTTTATGACAAGACAGCGAGATACTGGAGAATAAAGGTAATAAACCTGCTTCTCTCTTTAACAACTGGATTGTAATGCTTTATATGTAAATTAATGTGGCGAACTGGTGCCACAGATTGTCAAACAGCAACCATATTTAGTCACTATTACTGACAAACAAGGAGTTTAATTAATATTTGTGACTGTTTTCTTAGATTTTTCTATGCTGGCAAATAAATAATTATTAATTATTTAATGTCATGGTGTTTAGAACTGCTGTGCTACAAATAATTGCGGGCATTATAAATGAAGAAATAAATATTGTTACTTGTCAAGACCTAAATTAAACTTCTTAAAAGTCCCAACTGGTCTATTCTTTTCTTAAAGATAATTGACATTATAACATAGGACGTATGCTAGTCCTACCTAATTCCTATTGAGCCATCAGCAACAGAATCTCTATACATTATATGCACAGCTGTGCGTATATAACATGGCGTATATATGCAATTTCATGTAGCTGCAAAATTTCCATCGAGTTTAGTGCAGGTTTCTTTTGTTAAGTTTCGGCAATGTGAAGATTATACTGAACAATCCAAACCCCACTTCGAGCCTTTGACTTTCACCTGGCTAAGATGTTTACTTAAACTTGAGTATTTTGACTTTGTTTGTCTACACTTTCATTGAGTATGTTTGACTTTGCTTGCATACATTTTCATTGTAATTAATTCAAATTTTTCATTGACAATTTTAGAAACGAGGTTAAGCGTTTTCGTTCAACTGTTGCTCAACTGATTGTGGCGTGTTAGGATCCTAATGACCTTTGTTTTTCTTCACCACACATTGTGAGAACTAATTGTAGTCAATCACAAATGAAACATGTTTTAGTGCCCAAGTTGTTATTGCCATGTTATAAAAGAATTGGTTCATGCTTTTAGCTGTGCGTATATCGAGTTATGGATGCACTTGGGAAGATTGGAGAGCACTCAAGAAGCTAGACTTGGTCTCAGCTATTGCGTCAAGCAACTCTTATGCTTCTTTCGTGTTCGTCAAACTTCCTGCGTGCATCCATAGCTCAATATACATGTATGCACTCTAAGCATGAACTAATTCTTAAGTTTTTGTAAATGGTGATTAACCTTGTATTGGCATTCTATTGAGTGTGTGAGGCAGCGGTTTATGGTATATACTAGCTGAGGTTTTTGCTTTGCTCTCTGTAACAAGGAGTGCTTGTGATAGCAGGTGCTTGACTGTGAAGAACAACATCATGATATTGTAGAAACTGTGTGAAACTGTTTAGTATATGTAATGAGAAGACCTTCATTGATTAAAGTAATTCTCATTCCCTGCGTAATATCTGAAATTTCATAACTCTCACTTTAGGGTAACTCAGTCCAAGGCATAATCGAAACACTTCCACCTGCAGATCTTGCAATGGCCAGTGCTAAATCCAAATCCAAAACACCTCATAAAGCATATACCAAAGTACTGTCAGTACCTTTTTTTTCCCTTCTGTTGTTCTATTTCAGAATCAAGAACTGTTATTATAATATATAAAAAAAACACTTATGATAAAATTTATATTTAGTATTAATAAAGGAATAACAGACCAATGTTCGTCATCTCCATACATGCAATGCAGACATATTTTATGTCAGCAATAATTTGTTCTTCTACAGACTATTTTGTACTGAACCTTGTCATGGCCAAGTTGTACAGTGATTTATAATAAGCCAATTTATCGCAGTATTTTTGCGTAGGTCATGAAAACCTGGAAAGTTGTGCAATTTTATAATTTCACTTTCCAGGCCTGGAAAGTCCTGGAATTTAAGTGTACTTGTAGGTCTTTGAAAGCCATGGGAAAGCAGTATGCTTGAGATCTGAGAATAAAAAGGTGGAAGATCTTAAGTTTAAACCTAACTTTAACTCAGCTTAGGCAACCTTCCAGACTTAAATGTAAATTAATCTTTGTATTTGTTGTTGCTTTGTTTGCAGTCCAAAAACCAAGCGATCACCATTCATAGTTTTGATCTTGACTCTGATGGAGTACCAGAGCTCATTACAGGCTGGTCCAATGGGAAGGTAATATAGTCGTCAAACTTTCTCAACCTTTTTCTTGAAAATGAAATCAATACTTTTCTTTATTTCTGGTTCTGGTTGTATCTTACAAATTGATTACTCCAGCTGAATCAGTGTAGCAAATTGCTCGCAAAGGAACTGACCAATAGTACTTCAGTGTGCAAAATAAAAGAAATGGTCACAAAATCATTGCCACCATATGGTAATTTGGTGGAATTAAATTGTTAGCATCCAAGATTTTTGATTCATTTATCGATTTGCACAGAATTTTGTCAGTAGTTGCACTTTTAAGGATTAGTTATGTATTCATCAGTCAAGAGAATTTAATTCAATTGTTGTTTATTTCAGATTGATGCCCGTAGTGACAGAACAGGTGAGGTCATCTTTAAAGATAACTTCTCTGTGGCTGTTGCTGGTATTTTAGAAGGTGACTATCGCATGGATGGCAAACTGGAATTGATCTGTTGTTCAGTGGAAGGAGAAGGTATAATTTCATCTATATGCACAATTCCTTGAACTTTTTATAAACTAGGATAATTCATTAGTGAGAGCAACTTTCCAGTGCCTGCCAGTTGTTGGAGAGACCAAAACAATCCCATCCCACTGGCAATTCAAAAGAGGACTTAGTGCATTATATAGAGGTTGGTAGTCGTGCTCTAGAAATTACAAGACAATTATATGAATGATTAATTACTAAAAGTACATATAAAAGTATTTTATTAGTCCGAGGATATCTGCCAGCATCTGCCGACATGAGGGGAAACTTGATGGATGTCAATGTTGAGCAAGATGCGCTGCGAGACTTAGCGCAAAGAAAACAAAACTTGCTACTGGAACTGAGAAACTATGAGGAAAATGCAAGGGTAAGGTTCACGAGAGCTAGAAATTAATTAATATATAAGCACCATGGGAACAATGGAAATTATAACATATCACGCAGGTTAGTCCTGCCTAATTCCTATTGAGCCATCATGAATGAAATCCCTATATATACGCACCGCCATGTGTATATAACATGACATGTGCAGGGTCAGTTTAGCTGTGCACAAAATTTCCATCGAGTTTAGTGCAAGTTCCTTTTAAGTTTTGGCAATTTGAAGATTATTCTGAACAATCCAAACCCTGCTTGGAGCCTTTGACTTTTGCCAAGCTAAGATGTTTGCTTAAACTTGAGTGTTTTGACTTTGTTTGTCTACATTTTCATTGAGCGGTTTTGACTTTGTTTGCGTGCATTTTCATTGTAATGCATTTGAAGAAGCGAATTTTTCATTGACAATTTTAGAAACCAGATTAAGCTTTTTCATTCAACTGTTGCTCAACTGATTGTGGCATGTTAGGATCCTAATGACCTTTGTTTTCCTTGACTGTGCATTGTGAAAAATTTGTAATGAATCACAAATGAAACATGTTTTAGCACCCAGGTTGTCGCCATGTTATAAAAGAATTGGTTCATGCTTTTAGCTGTGCATATATCACACTATGGATGCACTTGGGAAGTATGTAGAACACTCAAGAAGCTAGAGTTGCTCTCGGCTATCACCTCGAGCAACTCTGATGCCTCTTTTGTACTCTCCAAACTTCCCGTGTACATCCATAACTCGCTATACTATATATTTCCTCCCTCCTAAAAAGACCAAGCATTTCCAAATTAATTCAAACTCAACCTTGATAGATCTTAGGACCTGCATGAAAGCCAGCTATATGTAGGTCCATCAGCTTCCTCTCTGAATATTGAAATTTATTTGTTAATTTTTTTTGTAATTTTAAGTCAAACTTTGTTTCTTCAGGTTGGGAAGGCTGGAGGTCAAGAGGTTGACCAGTCGCAAATGGGTATCATACCAGCTAATACCCAGTTACAGACATCACTCTTGGTAAATCCAGGCAGTGAACAGGTTCAGCCTCATGTTGAACTGTCCATCTCAACTACTAATGAAACTATCATACGAACTGTTATGATATTTGCTGAGGGAGTGTTTGAAGGGGAAAGCCATGTGGTGCATCCTCCACAACAAAGTTTAAAATCGTCTCTTCAAGTTCCAGTGTTCCCTCCAAAAGACATTCCAGTTGATCTTCACATCAAAGCTTTTGTTGGAAATAAATCCAGGTTGGAAGGCAGAGAGTATAATTTTATTATTTTGTTATTCTTCTACATGTATGAGGAAATAGTCAATGAGGTGTAGCCAAGTTGGCTAATGCTCATAGAAAACGAGAGTATACAAGTGTATACAAGCCACATCTGTATTGTAGTGATGGCCTTGTGTGGGCATTGCTCACAGGGAATGAGTAATAATAACAATAACAATAACAATAACAATAACAACAATAACTAACAATAACAATAACAATAACAACAACAACAACAATAACAATAACAATAACAATAATAATAGTAGTAATAATAATAACAATAGTTGTCAATAACCTGATCCTGTTCCATCTTGTTCTTTTACAGCTCCCACTTCCATGTTTTTGAACTTACAAGACAACTTCCCAGGTATGAGGGTTAAAGTGGAATACTAATAAATATTAACCAGAGGCCATAACGCTGAGGGACAGAATTTTTTGGGCCATCTCCACCTAGTGTCAAACTCAAAGACATTAACAGCATCCATGTGCTAATCTGCAGTAAAATGGCTAAAGATACATTTAGTCGTTCATGATCAACTATTATTTATAATTGAAAGAAAGAAAATGTCGTAAATATACAAGAATTTCTTGTCAAAATAAATGTTGTTTCATTAGCATCATGTACAATCTGTTATTAACTGGTGTCTGCCCAATAATTACAATGAGCCACCACAACTCAAGGTGACAAAGCAACACACTGGAGAAGCAATCATGTAGTCATGGCCATATACTTTTCTTGCAATTGAGAAATTAAAACATATTTCTAGCCTTGAACTTGATACAAGTCTGTACATACAGTGTAAACAAAGAAACAAACAAACAAAATTAATTGATTAGTGATTTGAAACAGTATGTAGTTTGGCAGAATGACAATCTTCCAGCCTGGACTAGCTGTATTAACCCATAGGACTATGGATCTTACTTGCCATTAGGTTGAACTCCATTAGAATTGTTTTGTTTTTCGTTTTGACTTTTCGTAGATTCACATTGTATATTCCATGCCCAGACGGTTATGCGGAGCCCAAATCTTACTGCTCCTTCCACATCAATGAAAGAGTGAACAGAGTACGTTTAGCTAATTAGTGCTTGTTTACTTAGTGGGAGGTCTGTGACCATGATATATGGCCTAAGGTGGTGAAGAACCTCAGCTGGCTTGCTATAATCATTTTGTTTATCTTGATTGATTCAGCTTAATAACACAAAGTCATGGGCCTCGATTGCCAGCCACTGTTTGGGAATAAGGCAACCCTCCCCTTAAACCTCACGAGAGTGGAAGAAATCAAGCCTAGGTTGATGTATGATACATAAATTAATACCTGATATAAACCTTGATTTTGTGGACACAAACCAACACTAATCAAACAGTGTGATTTCATTTGTGCAAAATTACTTGGTTAGATTTTGTTAGTTCTTTAAAAGCAAAATGGAATTAATTCTTTTATGTTTCTTTTTTAACTTCATAATATTTTCGCCACTTATCTTGCATATTCTATTGCACTTTAGCATTTGCGACATTTTAAACTTTTTTTTTAACTGTGAGAAGCAATCATATTTATGCTACATCTGGAAACTGAGTGGCATATTTTCCATATCCTCCTCACTGGGCAAGATATTGGTGACATTATTTCCCGCTTTGTCACGTTCATTTGTGCAAACTGTCAGTGAAAATTGAGAGCGATAGATTAGTCCACATCATGAGAAAATATATTACACAGTGACTTGAGGGTATGAATTTTAGTTTTTCTGTTGTTAAAAGATATTACAGTCTTACAAAAACATCATAGTCCATCCATCTGCCTTGATCTTTTATTCGCTGTGCTTGTTTTTAGAATATTGTATTTCATCATCATCATTGTTCTGTTATCTTAGTGGAGAATTGGGCTGTTGCCTCTCCACTTCCAGGCTATCCTATACTCTGCAGCTGATGCCGCCTCTGCCCAAGATGTTGATTCTTTCTCCTTAAGCTCCCTTTAAAAAAAATATAGTTTTTACAACCTGAAAATAAAATTCATATATTCACGTCTCCTTGTAATGTCATCTATATCATTCACTGCCTGTACCAGCTTGATCAAGTGAATATTTCCTCTGTTCACGATGTGACCTCTATAACCAAATGATACACATTCTAGTCAGGCAAAGCATGCAGAGGGTAGCTATAATTGGTCTCGGGCTATCCACAGACATGCAAATATGCCCAGAAGATAGGAAATGTAGTGACTCACTGGTGTTCTCTTTATTCACACTTATTTCAGGTAGTGATGTGGCTGAATCAAAACTTCCTTCTCCCTGAGGAGATAGAAAGCAAAGACACAGAACTGGACATTATGTTCTTATCTCTGAGGACTGGAAATCCACTGGCAATCAAAATGGACCAAAGTGGAAATGTTAGTAACAATTTGTTATCCTAATGATGATAATACATACTTATTTATGAATATAAAATTGATATAATGCTTGACTCTACTGTATAACTCTGCCAGGGTTGGCAAGTCTGGCTGAATGAAAAGTGGTAGAGTTGTTGAGGCTGTGATGTTAGTAAAGTAAGGCTGTCCACCATACAGTGAATCTTGTTACATGTGAACCTTCTTTTAATTAACTCAGTCCTTTTAGATAGTCCTTTCTTCTATTTTCATGCTCTGTTCTTTGTTCACTAGTACATTGTTACAAAATTGAATATTGCATTCTCTGGAGAAAATTATTAAAAAACATGAGCTTTCAACAGCCAATCTACTGTCTTTGACGGATTAAAATTTGTGATAAAATAAAACATTAAAATTTGAATATAGAGCGGAATTCGCATAATTTAATAATACTCGTTAAAAGATGCTCGGAAGATTGCTAGAAGTGCTAAAATAAATGTTTTTTTAAAGAGAATGTTGTATAGTCTCGGGAGTGGGCATGAGTTATTATCAGCCTCAACATTGTTGGCCGTGTGCCATGATTCAACTGTCTTTCTGGTGCAATTGTTGTTGTTGTTGTTTTTTTTTTTGTTGGTATATTGCTGACGCACACAATGTTTCCTGTGAGAGGTGATGCTGTGAACGATTAAAAAAGATCAAGATGGACAATGTAGTGGTAGCACAAAGTAAGTAAGATTTTTTCTTTTTCAGGTGACTGTTAAGACTGATGACATGGATTTAGCAGGAGACATCATTCAAGCCCTTGCATCTTTCTTGGGAATTGAGGTAGATAGGCCGCCAAACAAGAAGTTGCCTTTGGTGTCAAGTATTTTCTGTTAGGGCTTTGTGTTCTTCTATTAACACTAAGATTTTATGTTGCTGTACGTCTGTTCAGTAACTGATCACGGATGACGTCAAAATGTGGTAGCAACAAAAAAGTGACGTTTTTCCGTTATGTTTTTTGTCTCCACTTCAATGTAAATACTGTTTTTTGAGGTTTCTTTCGATCTGAAGGCAATCTTGTACAACTTAGTAATTAATAAGACACTTAAGACATTCATGTAGCTCCCAAAAGAGGGAAAAACTTAGGCACAGACCACGTGGTTATAACAAATAATTTTCAAATCAGTTCGCACCGAGTGTGTTTAAAAGTTTAAGTCGAGTAAACTGGATGAGTAAATAAACTGTTCTACTGTGTCTTCAGGCAAGCAGAAACTATCTGGTTATTAATTTTTATCATCTCTGAGTCAAACTATCGTGAGTTGACAAACCATTGTAATTTCATAAATTTGTAGAAATCTATATTGTTATTGTACAATGGCAATTTTATTACAGGATCTCCAGTCCACAGCAGAATTTCCTGATCAATTGGAAGAACTCCGCGAAATTTTGCTTAAGGTGATAAAGAAATATTGTTAAACTAATTTTTAAAATATGTACTTGTCGTAATAGTGATAGGTTACTACAAAATCCTTGCAGCCAAGTACTGCACAAGACATGAACCATGCTAAAAATGCATGACTTTGTGGCCATGTTCTGAAGCCCTCTGATGTTTTGTATACCTTTAAAAGGCTGAAGATCTTTTTTTCAGGATTCTGGGAAACTTGTAGATATAAAACTGTAGGAGCGATCTGTGCCCATGATTAAAGTTCTGAAAAAGGGGTTTGAAAGAGATCTCAAAAACCTTAAAACTGAATTTTCGACCGCCCTCTGCGGTCTTCTTCTGAGAAATGTACTCTGCAAGAGTCACGAATGCAAAATGTAGCTAAGACGTCAGTGTTCGTTGCCCGTTGGGGAGGAAACCAGTGGTGCATAAACCCTTGGGAAGGGTGCTCTTTCACTGACAGAGTTCTTGTCCAGGAATGAATGTAATGGCTCTAGAAAAAGCCTTTTGTCCTTGTTTTTCACGCCATTTTTCAAAATGCCCGCATAATTAGGGTGTATGTCGTGACCAGTGGTTTCGGCATGCTATTTTACCGCGGAGCCGTCATTCCCATTCGTTCCAGGCTTATATAATATATAGCAAGCTTTTTATTCCATGTGGTCAAGACATGATAGCCATGAGAGATTTCCCAGCAACCTCAGATCAAGGATATGTTCTCAGGGGCGAGGCTAGGGTATAAGTGATGATGGTGATTTCATTCACTTAAATTCATAGAGGATATCCAAGGGTTGAATGTCCACTAATTTCAGATACCAACTAATTGTAAATTGTAGAATTACCAGATTACTTTCCTTGATGATGCACTGTAGGTTAACAACTTGCCATTCATACTTAAAACTTAAAAGGCCCTTTTGATAGACTGGTGCACTCATGTGATGCAACTTTAAGCAGGCAGCCTGGCTGAGCGGTTAGAGCACCAGACTTGAAACCCGTAGGTCGCGGGTTCAAGTCCCGCTCTGACCACTAAGCTGGAGTTGTTTCTCGGTAGACCCTAGTTCAACTCCTCGGTCATACTTATAAATAGCCAACTGGTCTGCCTCCCGCCAGTTGAGATTTTTAAGCCTATTACATTAAGTTGATATATTTGTTTATTTCAGTTTAAGTGACATACCTGTGAACTAGCTAGGTGTAGCTAAGCGCGTAAACCACTACAAAAAACAACATTTAAACATTTGAACATTTTAGACATAATGTGTATATTAGAATTGTGTTCACACTTGGGTTAACACATGTACAAGGCGACGCAAGCAAACACAGTGCTTGATGTTCCATGATTACTTAAACTGTTATTGTTGTAATTATTATTCAGGTAGATGAGTTACATGCTGTGAGACAAAAACTCACAGCGGAGATGGCAGATCATTCCAACTTGATCAGAAGTCTTGTTGTTAGAGCTGAAGATGCCAGATTAATGGGAGACATGTAAGTCTTGCTGAACAATCTCCTTACATACATGTTCTTATAGAGTGTGTGCATTGTCACGCAATAAAAAATAAAATCAAAAACCAGTCAGTGGATAAAGTCGAGAAATTGTGATATTATAGACGATAAATAAAGAAAACAGTTCTCCAAGTTTAAGGTGTGTGCGTTGTCCCAACGTTGAGATATTCGTCGAAATGTTCCGCGCAAAATTGTAGAGCCTAGTATGGAGCCGCCATGTTAGAGGACCTTAGTCCTCCAATATGCAGGACGTAACATGTCGATCAAAGTCGATCATCGAAAACGTAGTCGATAAGTCGATAGTACTCAATATTTGTCGATAATTGTCAATCGACAAGTTAAATTTGTCGATAANGCGGTTTTTGCACGCTGTTTACACTCAAAGCGAAGATTGCCAGCATGGATTTCGGTTCGCTGCTAAAAGAATTCTTAGGTGTCCTT